GCATTTGTCCATCTCCTCCTGCGTAGAGAAGACGACAAAACAATCATCTACATATCTGCAGTAGAGTAGTAGCCGGAGATCGAGAACAGGGACTTCTATCTTAGACATAAACACAATGGCCAGGCTTGGTGCCAATCGCTGTCCCATTGCCAACCCCCTTATTTGTGCGAAATATTTCCCAGACCATCTGAAAATCGAGCAGTTTAGGCACTCCTTTAAGAGAGCCATTAGTTGCTGGATGGACAAGCCATGCATATTTATTCTTCCTTCATGTTCAACAAGAAGTTCGAAGATGGCTTGCATTGCGGAGTCATTCGACACGTTGGTGTACAGTGCGGTAACGCCGAAAGACTCCATCACGTACGCGTTATTAGGAGACGCGTTACGTAGACGTTCTAGGAAAATTTGGGTGTTTGTGAGGTGAGCTGGAATGTGGTTAAGCAACTGGGTAAGTATCAGGCTTAAAAACCAGGTTATTCTATCCCTTAGCCCGTCTACACAACTGATGATCGGTCTAACCTTAAATGATGACGGATTGGTTGACGCATGATCATCAGGTGATACCAACTTATGTGTTTTAATAAGTAGGTATAGGACGGGACATGTTGGTCTATCGATTTTAAAGTGCGAAATAACCGATGATTTTAAACCCGCAGCTTTTGCCACGCTGACCCATTGATTGTTTAGTTTTCGGTATTGACTTTTGTATTCCTTTTCAGAGGATGGGCGATAGAGAGTAGCATCACTAAGATGTTCCTCTGTTATCTCAACATCCAGCTGGCGAGGGATAACTACGAACTCTCCCCCCCTTATCACTAAAAGACAATCTTATTGTTTCCGAGTTTATTAATTCTCTGATTTCCCGCATGCCACATTTTTGTGCGGCTGTAAGGTTAGAGATAAACTTTCTATCGCGGTAGTGATCAAGGGTTTTGAGAACGCCGTCCAAAAACCCGCGGAATTTTATGTCAACTTCATCGTTAGGGTCCTGCTGCCTAAAAAACGTTTAAGGGAAAGGAGATGGTGGTAGTGCCGCCGCCTCCTGATTTTTATCTCTTTTTGATGTTTCTTGTTTGGCCTGATAGCGGAGTCGATCTTGAAGCTCATAAAGGTTGCATGCTATCCTACGCAGGGTCGTTTTAGAAATGGGCTGTGATGGTGCAAAACTTGGGCCCAGTTCTAATAGCGAGCGCGCATTCTCAGGTATTGTTATGCCCCCAATCACGGTGACCCTAGATTTTCTTAGTGCATTATCAACCCCATTTTGACTATTATCAGAAACGTAAGGAATTCGTTTGCGGTTGTTTCTTGAAGCTGAGACGTGTGAATTACCCAAAAGATTTTCGAATTTCCGTTGTAAGGTTATTTTGGCATTAGATCTAATAAAATCGCATATCAATATTGACCCACCAACTATCCTCCTCCACAGGCGATCCTCCAAATATAAAGCACAAAAATGTTCCTTCGTTGCACACTTCTTCATTCTGGCAAACATCTCGTTCTGCTTGCTTCGTAGTGCAGGTCGAAGTAGTTCCATTTCGATGCCTCGTACTTGTTGGCTGCCCTCTGGTTGACCGCATATCTCGTGAAGTCGCTTTCGTTTTATAAACTTCGGCACGACTCGATGTTGAAAACAGCGGCGGAGGAAGTTGATTTGCTGTCTAGCTAAGACAATCTTCTGTCTTAGTGACAATGCTTCCTTCACAAGTCGAAAGTATTTTGCTGGTACATCTTGTAATAGTTCCCGGGATCGACTTTCTCTTAACCTTGGCATTGGAATATGAATGTGTCGTTTTCTTGTTTAGCAATCGCGAGGTTTTTTAGAGGTTATAAAATAAATATGATGAATATTTTGTGGTTTGATAAGTAGCTGCTTTTTTTTACATCTGTATAAATAGAAAATGGATTCAAGCTGAACGATGCCGAGATATTCGCAGATATACCCGTTGACGGGTGGTTGCTGATAGCACTGCTAGATAGAAAACTAGGTGAGAGAAAAGCAAAGCAAGGCTCTTCGTAGCGCAGTGTGTAATGCTCAAGCTTCCGGAAGGGGAAATTGTGGTTCGGTCTGGCCCAGAGTTCAAGTTTTGCGAATATCTCGGCATCGTTGTCGTTGATTTCGCATAATACCCTGTCGTGAAAATTATTATAGTAGGCAGTAAATAAAAAAGGAAACAAAAAGTAGGTTGTTTAATTGTGGTAAAAATCGTCATATTTGGTCATTTACAGATGCTAAAGATCCAGTTACTGGGCTGCTATCGTTAAAGAAGACTCGGTTGGTCGACGTCAATTGGGCACGATTCATATCATTCCTTGTTTGGTACGACGATAACCTATTAGCAGTTGCTCGTTGTGAAAATGACCGTATCATTAAAATCGACTTGGAAACTGGCGTTGTAACTGTGTAAGTAGTGAAATGTCTTTTTTCTTTGATTTTTGGTTTTAGTCTTTACTATATACTTTGGCTTTGTTGGTTTTCTTTTCAAGAATAGAAAACCTTAGTGTAGTGTTTAACTCCATAGAAAGTGACGTTTATTATTCACAAAATGTTCCTTTGTGACGGAAACCGTTAATATTTTGAATGGCCTTCGACTTGGATATCCACTAAATTAGAAAGGTGAGCATTATACTTCATTTCGGTCAGTCTGTCGGGTTCTTTGAAAAGCTAACTAACTCAGCTTAGACTACTGTTTTGAAAAATGTTTGCTCCTTGCTTCTTCACGTATATTGGATGTTCTAGATGCACGCATTATGCTGTCTTTATTACCGCAGTCTTCCCATTCTTCGTCAACTATTTATCCTTCCAACTTATTCCCCGTCCTTCTTTTCCTTTTTTGCTGAGCTCTTAGTTCATTTGTGCTTCATTGGACTCCCCCACAATGACAAAGTCGTGGTTATAACAAATGCTCGGTGTGAAATTGCCATGAATGCGTATGTTCTAGTCGTCCCTATCGAGCGAGCGGCATAATTACCATCTGAATTAGGATGGTTAACAGCTCTGAAGAGATAGTGTCGATCTTTTGGAAACATTTTCGTACTCGAATAGTAAGGAGGAAGACATCAAAGGAGGAGTTACATTTTCGTGATGTAATCGGATAAAGTCCTCACAACGGTTCACCACTTTATCGTGGCAGGGAAGTTTTCCTGGGTGTGGGGCTGTGACGAACAGCGGGGGATTCGTCTCTCCGGCAGGGTCTCCCAAGCTGAGAAAGAGTCCAGCGTTTCCATCAGGAAGCCTAGCTAAGAGTAAACTAATAGGACCCACCACCGTCCTGGTATCAAGGTCGCATGGTGGCAAATCTCTCTCTGATCCACAAAGACTGCGACTGCCTGTCGTGGTGACGACATGGGGTTGACTTTGGCCAGGTTGTCCTCGTGATTCCAAGGAACTAAAGTGGCTTAACCAGCAGATCTCCGAAAAGTGGCGTTTATGCTGGGGTCCGCACAACTAGTGAGGACGGTCCATTCATGTATCAAGTAAGTAATCGGATAAAGTTCTCATATAAGGTGGGTCCACCCCTTGAGTAATGTGCACTGATAGGATATCATTAGTTTCGACGTTCTCAACGCTATTCCCTGTCAGCAAAGATTAAGTGCATAGAGCATTCCGTTGAAGCTTCTGTGATGTTAGCTGCGGTTCGGATAGAATCCATACAGAAGAGTCCTTGCCGATATCCGGCCTGCTAAAGTAGCTGGGCTTCAGCCACAGTTGTTGGTGTGCGTGATGGAATACGCTTCATGGAGAGCTACTAAAGGAAACTCAAAGCCATAGTGGGCGGTAGATACGTAGATCGCTTCGATCACCGTTTCTGGATAAGATGACTGGGCGTAAAGTTGGTCGTCGGTCAAGAATTGTTTTCTTCTGAAAGTATTTTATTATATAGGCTGCAAGATATGAGGATAGTTCGTAGTTTCAAGTGCGGTGGATGGCTACCATCTTGTCTTCTAGCCCTTGAGTTGTATCTTTTTTCATAGCATTGCTAAAACTCGGTTTTTTGAGGAAATTGGACACCTAGAACACTGCCAGGCACGATTTAGTAGTAAACTAATGGGAGTAGCTGAAAATTCTTGGTAAATTACAATTTGCTTGCTGTGCAGTCTAAGATTTGCTGCTATTCATGTTATCTTCCATGAAGAGACTATTTTAGTTCCATAAATAGTTCTTTCCCAGCATTAGTATGAACAATTTTTCGACCTTTTTTGTATGCCATAGTATACTTGTGTTTTCAGTACTGCTCGCATTTTATTTTAAAAGGTTTTTATATAACAATAACGTGGATTGCGGTGTCCATAATTACTGGCTACAGTATGAAATTATTTATTTGAGGCGGTTTAAAATTGCCCCTCGATAAGTTCGCCATCCATTTTGAAACTTCTCAATTTTTAGCGTCCAAGAACCAAGTGTAGCAGTAGTCTGGATGGGAGTCACACCATTGTCGAACATGGTGGTGGTAGCTACTACGAATGGGATGTTTGAGGAAATAATGAAAGATGCCGAAATACGTCTGAAATTTCAAGTGCCACCTTCAGAGAGCTACGACGTGAAATTTGCTGGTGTAAGTAGTTGATAACAGTTCTTATTTTTATCGCCTTCTAGTCATTCATTAGTTTTCTAAAGTCAGACTTGCTCATTCTTCAAATTTATAATTGGGACGACAGTGGACCGTCTCAATGGTTCACCGCTTCATCGTGGACGAGCGGTGTTCCTGGGTGTCAGGTTCCCTATTTACTGTAGAGGAATTCGTCCCCTCAGAGCCTCACAAGCTGAGGAGTCCGTCGTTTCCATCAGGAAGCTCAGCTAGGAGTAACCCAATACTAGGATCCACGCCGTTCTGGTACGAAACTAGTCGCATGGTGGCAAATCTCCATCTGATCCACGAGGGCGGCGACTGCCTGTGGTGGTGACGACCTGGGGCAGACTTTGGCCAGGATGACCTCTGCACTCCAGGGAACCACAATGGCTAAACCAATCAAACTCCGAAAAAGTAGAAATTATGTTGGTGGCCTCACAAGCAGTGGGGACGGGTCATCCAGGTAGCCAAGTAAGTATGTGATGGTGACAGGAGGTAAGAATCATATGACAATAACTCTAAAGAACGACTTTCTATAAACCTCGGCATAGATAGTTGATATATGAAGGATAGATGGTTGATGTATGAAGGTGGTGCTGGTGTGGTGCTGAACGCGTTACTCCTTTGAAGGGAAAATAGCGCGTTCGTTCCCCACCGTAGACACCTGCGGTCCGGAGTTTTGCAAACATTTCAACATCAATGAAGATATATTTCGCAATATACCCTGCCATTAAAAAGGGTAGGTAGTAAGTAATAGGTTAAAATAGTTGGTATATTTATTTATATCCAAAACTCGTAACAACACGGCTCTGAGGGAAGCGAAATTGCCGAAACGTGAACCATCGACCAACAACACCAACAGCAACGAAAACAACAGCGACAACGACAACGAAGACGTATACCAACCTCTCATCAGCTTAAGAAGATCACTTTATGAGATCATATAAATAAAGAAATCATCTGACACCCCAGCATGGGAGGGTGTGAAGTGGACGGTGAAAGTGTTCTACAAGTCAGAAGATTGGCAATGTCTGTATTTGGAATAGTTACTTGCGAGAGCATTTGTAACGTCCGTCGGAACAAGCCAACTGAATCATTGGAATAACAGCCTTTATGCTAAAATGGCACAGTCATTGTATCATAACCATGACTCTAGTTCCTTTTTTTGAGCTCAGAAATGTAAGGAGACGTCGTTGCCAAGATGTCACTGTTGAGAGCTTGGAGTGGAGATTCAGTTGAAGACATGCGCATCCTTAAGTTCGATCACATCGGACGATTTGCGAGTGACATATCCATGGTTTCTAATTTCTAATGATGTATTCCTAATAAAAAGCGTAGTCGAACATATGAAAACGAACCGTATTGTTGACGCATGGATTTTTTGGAACAGTTCAGGGAAATAACGAACACTCAATTTATTTCCTGCTTCACCAACTCCACTGTTGTTCTCGTTGTCCTCTGTGTCACACCAAACGGGCAGATGCAGTGAAGTTCGTTTAGCATGCTCCAGAAGGGCGATGCTGAGAGTTTCTGGTCTATGCACAAGTCTGTGATGAAGATGAGATTTAGCATTCAAAAAGGCGAAGTACACTAGAGCTCTTTCTGTGCGCCGCTTAAATGCTGTGAGTGCATTGGACAACTCTAACAGCGAGATAATCATTTGCTAATGTTTCCTTACTTTATTTCATGCAGGTTTTGTTTTTTTCGTTGTTTACATATTTTTGGTACCCATCTTTTATAGGTAATGTGAATTTCAGGATGTCATCGTAGTTCTAACACCGGACCATGAGTTATTCGTTAACGGTCGACTATTCGCCGACTCTGTGACGTCCTATTTGATCTCGGATGACGTCTGTATTTATATTACGTTGAACAACAAACTGCGATTCATGTCACTGACTACTTCTGAAAACCTCTGTTCTGGTACGTTTTTTTTAAAATGAACTTTCAAGAAGGGATCTTCTATTGTGGTAAAATTTTCATTTCATTTTTTTCATTCATTTCATAAGTAATTCCCATGACCGACTTTCTGTTAACCTCGGCATTAATTGATAATTCAATGTTTTTCATCAATAAGCAGACACGA